AAACTAATTCTGCCTCTCACAATAAAATCCTATAAAACATGTTTAGAGTGTGTTATTACTATTCATTGGTATGTAAAAATGGCACTCAAAAAATCTGTTCCCTGTGTGTATTCAGATCCAGGCATGAAGCCCTAGTTAACTAAAATAGTTTGGTTGCCCCCCCCCCTTATCTCTGTAGATGCAGCACAGCTCACAGTTCATTTTCTCACTTGTTAGCTGAGGTTAACAGTCGGCCGGGTCAGGCAGTTGGACTAGATGATCGTTGTAGGTCCCTTCCAACTGAACTATCCTATAAATAAAAACGGGTAAACGAAAAGTGCAGAAGTTCCCGGTTTTGGACACAAGAGGTCCGTAGAGGATCACAAAAGCCGCAGAGGTTGAGCAGCAGCTCCAGCAACCCCTGAACTGAACCAGGGCTGCAGTATTTCTGTCTTTTTTAATCCTTTAGCGTTGCACGCCGTGCACTTGGACCAAAGATTTCAGTATCGGCAACCAGAACAGCACCCCCTTCTCTGCAGGGTCTAATTAAGCCTAATTAATGTTTCAACGGTCTTAACTGCAATACAACCACTTGACTTCTGCTGGCTACCCCAGCCAGCCAGGCGGGTGTACCCGGTGCATCTCTGTGTGCCCGGGGAACAGCCAAACCCAACCATGCAACCTCCCTGGGTGGGAGAGGAATGGGTTGGGGGTGTTAGCGCTGGGCTTTGGTTTTCCCATCTTCTGCCAAAGCTCTGCTCTGTGCTCCTGACTCGTCAGGTACCTCATGGTCAGACACATCGAGGTGTCTCGGAGCAGGCTATGGGGGATAGCTGCCACCTTTTAGGACTGTCCTGAGTCTTAAACATCATTACTTTCCATGAGGCCCTCCAATGTCTGCTTGCAGACTTACCACTATGCATCGCAAAAGATGAAAACAAGGGGAGAACTTCAGCTAAAGGAAATGCAATGGGAAAAAGTCAGCCTGTCTCTGTGCAAAAGGGGGGAAACAGGGAGCACCCTCAGACACTGCTGAGCCTAATAGATGATGGAAAAATGTGTTTACATAAATAGCTCGCTCTGAGTCACTTAAATGGGCTGCCAACTCCGGTTTTACAGCAGTTGGCTGGGTTTCCCTCACTAACTCCTCGTGATAGTCCTGTGGAATCTGTATCAGGTTATGGGGGTGATGCTGGGTGATTTAAGAAAGTAATGACTTAAGAGCCAGATGGTGTTAGGGATGTGATCCCGGGGAGACACCCAAACCTATCAGCACTGTCAACTCTCATCCCACCCACAGTTCTCCATGGCCTCAGGCTGTTTTGGCTAAAGAGCTACGAACATTAAAATTACCAGAGGAGGTCACTGCTGCGCAGCCGATGGATGATGTCTTCATAGGTGCTGCAGATCCTGCGACATGGGCTTTGGCCAAGGTTATCACACATGTCCAGCTTGGTGAGGTAGAGGTGCTTGAAGAAAAGAAAGAGGGACCCGTTCAGGATGGAAGCTTTTGGGGCATCAGATGGAAAGGTGGGAGAAAAATGGCCCCAGCTGTGGTGCCACAGGAAATCCAGCAGTTACATATCCCCAAGTATTAAAAAAGCAGGTATGTACTGTGCTATGGACTTCAGGGTTTTGGAGGCACATATTCTGAGATTTTTTTTATACCATAATCCCCACCATCCTATAATTTATTAGACAGCAAGGCAAGCTGGGGGTGGACCCCACAATACGAAGATATCCTGGACCTCTTAAAGTGAATGTACAGCACCCACTGGGACCTTGAGTGGCTCCGCTTGCTACGTACATGCGAACTGGAATACTCATTACATACACTCACAAAATACAGGGTAAATGGCAGATGCTCTTGGAAATGGCACATGGACCATGCACACAATCCCAGTGCTGTATGGGCTGGTGCCAGACCATGGCTAGGGAATTGGGCAAAACACAATAGGCAGACAGGGAATGGAGAAGGGAATATTGGGAGCAAATATATGATATTGCTAACTTTGGTCTTATTCCTATAGGATGCATAGCAGCATGCTGGAAAAGTAGCACTCAGTTGGCAACATGGCCAACAATTTAGCAGGATAAGTGTGGGAGGACATTCTTCTGCCTTGAGCGCTGAGTGGTTGGGTAGATGGTTGCAGGAACAGTTGGGACGCGCTGGCTCATATGACTAGTGAGAGTAAGCAGCAAGCAGACCATCTCATGAGTACCCGTGGGTTTTGCAATGAAACGAAGACTTGTCTTGTCAAAAGTCAACTGCCAGAAAGGAAGGGAAAGCCCACTGAAATACTTGGCGAGTAGATTGCATCATACCCCAAGGGGGTGGAAATTTATTGTGACTGAACAACTTTTCCAACTAGAGCTGGACTATTTCTCTAAATTTATGGAGAAGCATGTCCGTTGCACATCTGTATATCGCTATGGAATGCAGAGATGTTTTTTTCCTGGTTTAAAAATAAAAATAAAAGTAAAAATAAAAGTAAAAATAAAAATAAAAAATAAAAAAAGGATAACTCTACTTGAGTTGCTGTGGAGGGGTACTAGCAAGGTTTGACCCCATGTTGGGCATGGAGCTGCAATGGGAGATTTAAGGGGCTGCTCCACCGTCTTCCCACACCCCAGGGAGATTTCCTCTTGCCACCAAAAACCTGCACCTGCTTTACATCATGGAGAGCAGAGCTGAGCAAAGCACATGCACTGGATGAGGTGGTCACGAGAAGGGATAGAGGTCCAAGCTGTGCACCCACAAAAGATTCTGGAGGGCGTACAGCCCTTCCCAAGGAAAGAAGGCCAGAAGAAGCAGGAATCAGCCTGTTCTGAACCAGAAAAAAGCTCATCAGGTGCTGGTTATGGGTTGCGGTCTTGCGTAGAGGTGGAAAGAAGACAAATATATGTGGTGGAGGGTGCAGCTGTAAGGGGAACGTGCTGGCCTTTGCAATTCATAACTTTATGAAACAAAATTACTGTAAAAGATGAGGGTTCTTAGAAGCAAAACAGGTCCTTTTCTGAGCACTCCCTGAGACATTGTTTCTTGGAGGAGCCTTTCTTGGAGGGAAATATAGTGAAAGGACACTGCCTTCATCCAACTCCCCCCTCAAGTGATTAAAAAATAATAATAAAATAAATACTGTGACGAATATTTTAATAAATTTTTACATTTTTAAAAAAAACCATTCCTGATGGTCATAGAGGATAGGCAGGTACTTCACTTTAAATTCAGGATGGGCTCACAGCTGAGTTGAAAGGAGTTTTTCAGAATCTGAAAACCACTAGCATGACTGTCAAAGCAGGGTTGGTTTCAGCGCAACAAGCAGTCATTTCCCATAAAGTGATCCTAAAGTCCTGAACTGCCAGATACTTAACATAATTTTAGGATTTTGCAGTAACCTGCTATGATTCTTGAGAAAAAACTCCAGCTTATAGGAAGCATTATGCTATTTTTTCTCTGCCACATTTGAGGAGGAAGGCAGCTGAGGAGAAATACCAATTAATCAAAAATAATCAAGAGAAATGAGATTAAATCCCTGGCCCTGACAGTAACCTATATTTTATATTCGGGGAGGTCAGGTACAAAGGAAAAGCCTCCCCATTGCCGAAGCCAGGGATTTGGCGTGCCTCCCAGCTGCCCGTGTGCCCTCTCCTCTCTGGAAACTTCCCACCACCAGAGAAGGGTGTGGGGGCTGGACCCGCTTTGCTCAGAGCCTGCCTGCCCCGAGGAGGAGAAAAAGCAGGATTTAGGGCTTAAGCAGCGGGTTCATGGGAAAACACAGTTTAAAAAAAGGCAAAACAACAGAGAATTTTATTAAGCTTCAGCATCTCAGCTAGTTTTCCCCCTCCCCTTCCACTTTGCATCAGGGTTGGTAGTACAGGAGATGATTCCTCTGCTGATGGCAGAGCACAGTGTCCCCCAGCCTGTTGGGGGTCCCCGGGGAGGGGTGGGCACAGACTCCCCAGGCAGAGCATGGAGGGGTCCCAGGCAGAGGCTCCAGATGCCCCATGTCCCAAAACAGAGGTGCAGGCTACTAAAAGGGGTACCCACGGGTGGTAGGGGACCAAGGTTAGGTGCCAAAGCTTGTGGGACCCTGCTGCTCTCCTCCCAGCTGCCAGCAGCCCCCAGTGGGAATGCCAGCAGGGACCAGATGTCTGGTTGAGCCTGGGTAGGTGTTTGTCCAGCCTCCAAACCCACAAATTCCCCTCTGGAGTCTGGAGAAGGAGAATATTTGCAGCCATTGAAGCCAGTTCTCATGTATGTTACCTCCTGCAACACCCAGAGCCATCCCAATTTGCTCTCTCGCTGTGTCTCTTTACCCTTTTGCACTATCAACCGACCCACGTTCAGCCCTTAACCGTGCAAATCACCCTGCCCGTTGCTTTGTCCAGACAGAGCCTGATCCCAGGTTTGTCCCATTTTAACTCAAGTCCTGGAAATCAACCTGGCAGCTCCTCCCAGTCCCATCACACCCCAGTTCAGCTGCATGCCTTGAGGTCTTACACTTGTTTCCCCAGCTCCTTAACCCCCCCAGGAGGCTGTTTAGCATCTTCCCTAATTAACAGCAGCCCTTGACAACCTCCTCAACCCTAAGGTGCAGGAAGGAAGTCAAGGTCAGATGCGTTTCTGGGTTCTTCTGCTGAGCAGTTTCACTGTCCATCTCTGCCAAGGTTTTGCATTGGTCTTAACGGGATTTCTTTCTAATTAATTGCTCTCCTCCTGTTTCTTTCTGTTGTCCTGTGAGGGGCTTCTGCTCTGGGTTTCCCTTGTGCATCTCAGAGCCGTGCAACGGTTGCTCGGGTGGACTGTTGTCACCACCGCCAAGTGACATGGGTTTGCAAGGTGCCAGGCATCGAGCTGCAGGGCTGGGGTCTCCAAGGTGCCGCCTGAGACATTGCTTCTCCTTCCCACTCTTGCAACCCATTTCTAGCCCTGCAAGCCTCGGGCATCGGACAGGGAGCCCAGATCCCTGGGGAGCACCCGCTACGATACCAGCCCTGGGATGGAGGGGAGGTACTGGCTACCGGCACGGGGCCAGTGCATTAGCGGGGGGCATGGGAACCCCGTCTCCCCCACCGGCATCATCCTGTTGCCCCGTGTCCCCTGGGCTCTCCCCCATGCCACTGGTAAGGGGGGACTGGAAGCTGCTTGGTGCCGGCCCCCCAGTGCTGGGAGCCATCACCCAGGGCAGCGACAGGTATTTTTGCACCTCGATGGCTGGGCTTCGGCGGTCGGGGTCCAGTGTCAGCAGGCGCCGGAGCATCTCCAGTGCCCCGGAGCTGAAGCCTTGCCAGGACGCTGGCACCCCCCGCCCCGCCACACCACCCTGCCAGGCACTGAAGTCCTCAAACTGGGGGTCAGAGCTGGCAGCCACGGCCCAGGGGAAGCAGCCGGTGCAGAGGCAGAAAAGCAGGACGGCGAAGGCCCAGACATCCAGGCTGGAGTCCAGCTCCAGTGTGTCGGAGCCCTGGAGCAGGCAGAGCTCTGGTGGGGCGTAGGGCAGGGTGCCGGACATGGCACCCACTGCGGAGCCCTGCACGCGGGTGAGCCCGAAGTCTCCCAGCTTCACCCGCCGGCACTCGTGGTCGAAGAGCAGCACGTTGTCCAGCTTGACATCCCGGTGCACCAGCGCCCGGCTGTGCATGAAGTCCAGCGCCTCGGCCAGCTGAGACGCGCAGCGCTTCACCAGCTCCTCTGCCAGGCCCTCCTGCACGCAGGGTGGTACCATCGCCCACCATACAGCCCCTTATCCAAAGGGGCTGCTACAGCACCCAGACCCCTGCCCAGCACCGCTGTGCTTTGCCCCACAGCAGCCTGTAGCCACATGCCCACACTGCAAAGGGTCTCCCCGTGCACAGCATGAGTATGCACCTCACTGCAAAGGGTCTCCTCCCATGCACGGCATCACTGCACCCGCTGCAAAGGGTCTCCGGCCACTCACAGTGTCACTGCACCCCACTGCAAAAGGTCTGCCCACAAAAAGCATGACCATGCGCCCCACTGCAAAGGGCATCCACTCACACAGTGTCACTGCACCCACTGCAAAGGGTCTCCCCCCATGCATGGCGTCACTGCACCCACTGCAAAGGGTCTCCCCCCATGCATGGCGTCACTGCACCCACTGCAAATGGTCTCCTCCCATGCATGGTGTGGACATGCACCCCATGGCAAAGGGTCTGCCCACAGAGCATGAGTGGGTGCTCGCTGCAAAGGGTCTCCCCGCACACCCCATCACTGCACCCACTGCAGAGCGTCCCCCACAAAAAGCATGACCGTGCACCCTACTGCAAAGGGTCTCCCCGCACACAGCATCACTGCACCCACTGCAAAGCTGTCCCGGCACCTTCTCCTCCCTCCTCCCACCCCTCCTGGCCCCCACCCCACTCCCGCAGAGCCCCGGGGCAGCACGCACCCCCGGGTTGAGGAGGGCACACAGATCCCCAGCAGGAGCGAGCTCCTGCCCGAAAGCGAAGTGCGTGGCGCTCTCGAAGGCGACGGGCAGGGCGCGCAGGCAGGCAGTGTGGCTGGAGAGGCACAGGGCAATGCAATACTCCCGCAGGAACGCCCGCCGCTCCGTCTTCTCCTTCAACATCAGCTTGAGGACCACCGGTGAGCCTGGGAAACAGGGGAGGGGGAGCCAAAGAGGGGGGGGTCAGCACCAGCTGGGGCACCGAGGGGGGCAGAGACAGGGTCTGGCATAGAGTGGTTTGGGCAGAGCTGGGGTTTGGCTTGAGTGGGTCGGGCACAGTGGTGGGGCTGTGCACATCTGTGCACATCTGGAGAGCAGTTTGCCTGAGCCAGCAGCAGGGTGACCCTTCCCGCTCCCCTCCTCCCAGAGACCCTCACCACCATCCCGGGGCTCCGTCAGCACCACGCGGCCATAGGTCCCGCTGCCCAGCTCCTCCAGCACAGCGTAGTGCTCCTCCAGCTCCCGTTGCGGCATCTCGCGGCCCGTCTGCGCCATCAGCCGCTCCAGGAACTCCTCGTTGTCCTCCCCGTCCTCGTCTGACTCCTCCATGGGCTCTGGGGAGAGCCAAGCCCCCCGCACTGCTGCAAAGCCCCACCGTCCCTAGCCCCTTGCATGGGGAGACGGCGGCAGCATCAGCTTCATGGCCCCAGGGCAGCCAGTCAGGACAGCCCAGTGTGGCCCAGTCTAGCCCAGTCCAGTCCAGTTTAGCCCAGATCAGCTTGGTCTGAAGCATCCTGGTCTAGCCCAGTTCAGTCCAGTCCAACCCACCCAAGCTCAATCCAGTCCATCCCAGCCCAGCCTAGTGGAGCCCTGAAAAGCCTCGTCCAGTCTTCTATAATCCAGCCCAGTCCAGCCCAGTCCAGTCCAATGCAGCCCAGCCCAGCCCAACCCATTCTAGCCTGGTCCAGTCCAGCCCAGTTTAGCCCAGTCCAGTCCAATGCAGCCCAGCTCAGCCCAGTACAGCCCAGTCCCACCCCAGCAGCTCTCCGCACAGTGTTCCTGGCCAGGATCAAGCCCTGCTGCTCTCCCCGAGGCATTGCGTAGACATGGGGGTCCTGGCTGTTGGGAAGGTGCAGCCCCATGCCAAGAGGTGATGGGGACCCCAAAATGCCCCTGTCCAGTGGGGCCAAGCACCCCCTATGGGGAGCTGGGACACTCACTCCGTTGAGCCCCCATGTCCTCATGTGGGAGGGAGCGTCAGCCCCACATCACACTCCAGAGTAGAGGCAGTGAGCCCTGTAACCTCCCAGAGGAGGGACAGGCAGCTGTGCATCGCAGCCCACATCACCCCACGGCAGCAGTCAGGGCTCCCTCCCTCCACCCTACATACCCCCCCCCCATTGCAAGGGGTCAGGGCTGGCCCTCTCCCACCCCACATCCCCCATTGCAAGGGCTACAGGCTGGCTTTGCCCCTCCCCACATCCTCCCCATTGCAAGGGGTCATGGCTGGCTCTGTCCCACCCCACACCCTCCCCTTTGCCAGGGGTCATGGCTCACCCTCTCCCCACATCTTCCCAAGGCAGGGGGTACGAACTGGCTCTGTCCCTCCCCGCATCCCCCCATTTGCAAGGAGTCAGGGATGACTCCTCTCTCCTCCATCCCCAGCCCTGAAACAGGACCCTGGACCCTTCTCCCATCCCACCACCTGCAGCCACCCGCACCGTTACAGCCGCGGTGAGGTCACGGCCACCACTAGCACCTCCAGGTGTGCAGGGCTTGGACAACCAACCTGTCCCGTCCCCCCCCCCCCAACACACACCCCCCCACACACACTCTGCCATGGGGCTGAGCCAAGAGGGCCATGCAAGCAAGCCAGAAGCAAAAGGCAGGGTCGAGTGTCCCTCAGGGTTGCACGGGGACAGCCGAGCAGCCCAGGAGCAGTGCATGCCTCACCTGCGTCCCCCGCCGTGTGTCCCAGCAGGGTCAGGTGCTCCTGGGGCACGGCTGGGTGCCCTCAGCCCCCCCAGCCACCCCCAGCACTGGGAGCTGTGACTCAGACTTTCCTGCCCGCTCCCATGCCGCCGGCCCGTGCTAATCTCTGCCGCTCGCGCGCCGGGAACATGTGTCAGCCCCAATGCGTGCCGAGGGCCAAAGATAGGCAGGAGGCAGGACAGGCAGGGCATTGCATGGGGGTACAGACGGACAGCATGGAGCTGGAGATGGGGGACAGGCAGGGCATTGCATGGGGGGACAGACAGAATGGAGATGGATATGAGGGGACAGGAGGCATTGCATGGGGGGACAGATGGACAGGATGGAGCTAGGGATGGGGGCTGAGCTGTGCTGGGCCTGGCAGGCTCGGTGCACCCAATGCAGGGTGGGGAATCAGGGTGCGGGCCTCTTGGCTGTCCCTCAGCGTGCTGCTCTGCACTGTCTGTCTGTCCCTATTCGGCTTGTCTACCCAGAAAGGGGGTCTGTCCCCAGCACCACAGTCTCATCCATCCGTCCCTGCAAGCTGTCCTCCACACTGTCTGTCTATCCGTCCATCCATCCATCCACCCATCCATCCATCTCAGACAGTGCTTGGTCCACCTGTCCCCACATGCCTAGCTTGTAATCTTGGCTGTCCCTGCCTGTGCCATCTGTCCATCCACCCGTGCACCCTGTTCTGTCCATCCCACCATGCCATGTGTCGTGCTGTCTGTCTGTCCATGCCCGTATTTCTCTATGACAGCTGTCCCATGCCACCTTTGTTTCTCCCTCCATGCAATGCTCCATCCTGTCCTTCCTCAAAGTGCTGCCCCTCCATCAGACCAGTCTGCTCTGCTTCACCAAGCCATGCTCCTTGATGTCTGTCTGTCCCCATGTGCAATGCCCCGTCTGTCCCCCCATGTCCAAGCCCATCCTGTCTGCCTGTCCTCCATGGAATGCCATCACAATGTCATCCCACAACACAACTCTAACCATGTCATGACACAGCCCAGCAATGTCGTGACACAGGCCAGCAATGCCACAACACAGTCCAGTCATTCCTTGGCACAGCCCAGAAATGCCACAACACAGCCCGGTCATGCCATGCCACAGCTGAGCAATGCCATGACACAGTCCAGCCATGCCATGCCACAGCCCGGTCATGCCATGATGCAGCTTGGTCATGCCACAACACAACCCGGTCATGCCACGACACAACCCGGTCATGCCATAACCACATGCCACCTGCCCCAGCTCATTGCCACAGCCCCACCACCACCACCACGTCCCAGCACAGCCCCACCACCACTGCCACGTCCCAGCACAGCCTCAACCCCAGTCTGGCCATGACCCCTCATCCTGCTACAGTGGCATCCTGGGAGGATGCAGCAAGTCACGGGCATCCCTCCACCTGCCTCAATTTCCCCTCCCTGGTGCCACCTCCCTGAGAGGACAGGAGGTCCGGTTTTTGTTGTGTGTCCCCCGAAGTCACGCAGCATCTCACAGCTCCAGCTTCACCCACCTACATGTCAGCTGGCTCCCGGTGGGCTGTGGGGCAGGGACCGGGAGCAAGCTGTGGGTGCCAGACCCCCAGATGTGGGGCAGGATGGTTTGGGGACAGGGGCGGGGACAACAGCCCTGCAGTGATGCCTAGGACTGGGGCATCATCCCATGGGGCTGGCACCAACCCCAGGAGACGCTGTCCCCCTCTGCCACCGTCCCCAGTGTCCCCAGTCCCGGCCACGCCACTCCCGCCCCTTGTCTCTGCCTCCCCCCCCCCAGCTCTGACTCACATCTGGGCCCCCTTGGCAGGGCGCGTTCCTGGGGGGTCTATTTTGGGATGGGGCTGGCAGAGTCCGGCTGGCGGCACACACGCCCGGTGTTCTGCCAAGGAAGTACCAGCCGTGCTGAAATGCAGAGGTCGGCCATGGGGGTGAGG